ACGAGGGCCGCATGGTCCGTATGTATAACAAATTTTTGTCCATGCAGATAGTAATAGAATTTGTCTAGGGCATCTACTATGGCCAAACATTCTAACTCAGTAATCGTATAATTTTTCTCATAATTTCTTAAAGTTCGGGAATGATATGATACAGGGTGAAGGACATCATTTTCATCTGGTTGTTTCAAAACAGCTCCAACAGCAGTTTGAGAAGCGTCAACAAAAATATGACATGGCCTACTGGAATCATACAATTGTAAAACAGGTTTGGAAATCAGTATTCTTTTCATTTCGTCGAAAGCTTTTTGACATTGGTCATCCCATTCCCACTTGACATCTTTTTTCAAGAGTCTGTTTAATGGAGCTCTAATAGTTGCATAATTCGGAATGAATCTATGATACACATTCACACTTCCCAAAACTCTTTGTAACTCTTTGGTGTTACTGGGGTTTTTAAGTTTCTTAATAACTTCTATATTATGGTTATCGGGAATTATTCTACCATTTTTTATTTCATAGCCAAGAAATGTGATCTGATCTCTGGCGAACACACACTTGTTTCGATTCAATTTAATATGCTCCTCTTTAAACACCTCAAATAAAATTTTTAAATGTTCCTTCTCAGAGGAAGAGTAAACGATTATATCATCAAAGTAACTGCAAGCGAAATTAATTTTATTTTTTGTTAATATTCGTCTAATTGTTCTGTTAAAAATTGCAGGAGCATTTTTGAAACCAAAAGGGAGTCTTAACCATTCGAATAATCCAAAATTCGTGCAAAAAGCTAATTTCTCAGTATCTGCAGGGTGAATCGGGATATGCCAGAAACCAGATCTCAAATCAATTGTAGAAAATACTTTTGCTTTACTTAATTTGTCTAACAAAGTGTCAATGCGAGGAAGAGGGTTTGCATCTGTTTTAGCCAGGGAATTCAATTTTCGATAATCTATACACAATCTAGTTTTCTTACCTTCCTCACGTTTAAGTACTAAAGTCACGGGGGACGAATATGGGCTACAACTTTCTTTAATTATACCTGCTTGTAATAATTGATCAATTTGGGTCTTAATTTCCTCTTCTTCCATAGGGGATGTTCTATAAGGTCTTAATGATACAGGCAAATCAGAATTTAAATTAATTCGTTGAGGTTCAATATTAATTTTTCCTACATCATACTTATTTTTAGAAAACACAGATGAATAATCATTTAACAATTTTTCCAAGTTATACTCTTTGTTATCGACAGTATTAGAAACAGCATTTTTCACATAAATGTTAGACTGAGAAACTAATTCCTTTGGATTTGTAGTCCGAGATTTACAGGTTGGAAAATTTCTTACATCATCATCATTATTAACACATGGATAAACATTTGTTGTACCACCTTGAAGTTGGAGGTGTAGAGATATGGGTCGGCTGTCAAAATGGCAGTCATCATTAAGTACAATAGCTCTCTCTGTTTAATTTTTAAATTAGTACAATCAATACTCAACTCAAATAATTTGCATTCATAAAGTCCTAAAATTACATAATTCAAATTATTATCAAGAACAAACAAGGTAATTTGGTTACTAATCCGTCCAATTTTCATTTGTATACAACATATTTTGTTGAAGATTATTTTTCCTTTAGTTTGGGTTACTGAAAATGATCTAACTCTTTGTACTTTTAAACGTAATTGTCTAGCTGTTTTGGAAGAAATTATTGATATGGTGGCACCACTGTCTACAACACACTCTAGACGTTTCTTATTGGGCAAATATCCCGACACCTTTAATAGTCAACTACTGTGAGGGGTTTCTGGGGTTGGTTCTATTGCAAGGGGCGTAACATTAGGTGTATCAGATCAGATCTCTCCCCTCTGAAAGGACAAACCTGAAACCAGTGAAAAGCATTTGGGATTCCGTTCCGGGTGCAAAGTCTACAGGGACTGGGTGGCAATGGCAATCTATTTTGAGAATTATAATTATGATGGCTTGTAAATCCTGGACCACTGAACCGATTATAAAAATTACTTGGTCTCTGAAAACGTTGGAAATTGTTGGGTCTAGGAGAATCTTGTCTCACAGTAGTTTCTAGCTTGAAGCTGAAATTCTACTTCTATTAAATCGATTGTAATCTTGGGGACTGTTCCCAATCGGAGTAACAAATCTGGGAGGTGCACTTTTGATTTGTTGATTTTCGCTAATCTTAATAAGCTTATGGACATGAGTAAGCCAAGAGATGGGGTCAGAGGGTGCGTTGATCGTCATTAAGGATTTTAATTCTATAGGAAGGCCATCCGTCAGACCCTCCAAGATCATTTCATGAGTTAGATTTAATTTTTTACCAATATCTAATTTTTTTGCGAAAATATTGCGTTATGTCCTCTTTATGATTGTACTTGTAATTGGCAAAATCACCAAACGTAGTTAAAGTGGGGTCGAAAAAATTTTCCTTTAAAATTTGGACTAATTCCACATATTTAGTAATTTTATGGCAGTTTTTGACATATACGCTAAGTGCATTACCTTTTAGATATCGAGCTACATTATTAAGCTTCCACGTTTCATCTTTATCTAAATGAGTTTTGTTAAAGTACTCAAGCCATGAATTTAATCTTTCTCGCAAAAAAAGGATTCAGGTTCAATTTACGCCTTTAATAAATTTTAACTTTTATTTCTTATATTTTTCTAATTCTTTCAAAAAATATCCTTTTTACCTTAATTTTACTCCAAATTTTTTTTTTAAATCCAAATTCATCCTTTACCCCCTTTAATACAGTAATTTTCTACATCGAAAAATCGTCGTTCAATCAATTGCTCATCAAACTAGGTCAAATCGGTAATTGACACTAGTTTTTGAGGCTGTGAATCTTCGCTTTACGATCAATGCACACGTTCAAGTTTTGCTCTCGAGAGCAACACAGTGTGGTGATTCATCGTGTTTTACGGAAATTAATCAAAGTCGCACAATAGGTATTTTCGAGCAATTTGATCACTCGATTTCGTCACAATAAATCAAACAGAAACAATTAGAAACAAGATTGGCGTTGCAAAGATATTATTACTATTGAATTATAATTATTGATTTAAAAATTGCGTTTTTATTTTAAAAATTTTAAAGAAGATTGCTTTGATAAAATGTATTTTAAATAGGTATTTAAAGAATATATTTAGGTTCTAAATTGTTTTGGAAAAATTTAAAGAAAATATTTTGATTTAGTTTTTTATTTAGATAATATTTGAGAAATGGCCTTGAAAATATCCTGTCCTACCGGCTTTCTGAAATGTAATTTCTCATACATTATTTGTTTTGTGCAGCCGGGGCAACAGGAATGAGACAAATTTTGGAATATAAAGTGGTAGGTTTATTTTAGCATCCATCTCACAAGCGTTCTCCTCGTACCTTGAGCAGAAGCCCTACTTATACATATGTGTGCGTCACGAGGCTCCTCCAATCAGCGATATTAATTGAAATCACGAGGTGACGCTATCTTCTCATCAGGAGTGTTCTTAAGGACTTTATGTAATATGACAGATTTATGAGTTTGGCGATTTGGCGGGCGCCAACAGGTTAATATAATTTATAATAAAGAAAGGATTTCCCCAAAATTTAGGAACAGGGATGCAATTTAGGTAGAGAATCACCAACATATTATTAAGCAATATGATTAGAATTTAATTTAATCAATTGATTTAAAAATATCATTACATATATATGCCCAGTCTATATAATATATATCCACGTATATATACCGACGTAATATATACCCATGTATATAATATACAGGATGGTTATAATTAAAGTTCCACTTTCAAATGGTCATAAAAGAAAAGTACTGGACCAAATGTTGTCAAATTTGGTAATCGTGTAAAGGATGTCATGAGAATGTATTTGCCGCGAGGAAAAAAATATTCAAAAACTCACCACCAGGGAGGAAATGGCGTTGCATGCAATATTGTTAAACGAAATAAGAGTCGGAGTCTATCTTAACTTTTTGCTATACAGATTTAACATGTTGTATACCCTTATAAGGTATTTCTCCCGCCTTCTTAGCGTGCCTTCGTGGTGTAGTGGCTCTGCATGCTGGGCCGGTATTCCAGAGGTCCGCGGTTCGATTCCCGGCGAAGGCGCTGCTAATTTTTCATCTTGCCTGCTTCAAAATAATACCTAATGTCTCTACACCTTTAAGAAACATTGTCCTAAAGAAAATTACCACTTAAAGCCGTTAAAAGCATTAAAAGTCGAGTGCGCCATCCATGTAACGGAGAAACTCGTCCTTGAAAACCTCAAATTAGCGATTAGAAAATGTGAGATAGCAAACCACTCGCAAAAGTGTGCGCATTCCGGAAATCGTTTTCTTACAGATCGCTAATTCGTGATTTTTGAAGCCTGGGTTTGGCCCTAAAACACGAAGAAATCAGTTTAACACTTTTTCATCGTTTCTAAAACTAAACTGTTTTTGGGATAAAGCAAAACCGCAATGGCTTGTAATTCGCTTACGGCAAGAAGAAGCAAATGATGTATAAAAATAAGTTAAACAGTTTGGTTTAATTGAAAAATGCGAGACATCGACATGTCCGTAACATTCCTCATGATATACCAAGAGCTGCTGTTGAGAATACAGTAAACACGATTTAACTTGCTTTCGGAAAATGGTGGACGCCACATTTAACCTGCTTTGTAACACGTTTCAGAAACGATTACATTTTAAACCGATATCTTCATGTCTTAGATCGTTTAACAATACTACATACAGCGCCAATTACGCCCCTGGTGGCGAGTTTTTGAACTTTTCTTTTGTTCTCATTACCGCGCAGGAAAGCCTTTCTGACCATGAATTGCTACGTGATTTTCCATCGTCTAGGTATATTCTCTCCCCTGAAAGTTTGTAACCGATTTGCTGAAACACCGTGTATAGATATATGTATAACAAATCTTTTTTTTTCATACTTTTGATTTGTGGCTGGTTTACTGGTATATATATATACATATATTTCTTTTCGAAATCAAATCCTGTAACCTTATTATTTTCTTTTAGGAGTGGGCAGTATTGAAACAGTTATGGAATCCAACTGACGAAAAAGCTTTAACAAAAGCAAAACAGCGACTGAGGGCAGCATTATTAAAATTAAAAAGCGTGAAATGCCTAAGCAAAGGAAATGAGCATCGTATATACCAGATCCTGAACTACGAAGGTACTGTATCTTCGTGCAAAATTCCAGATTATTTTATTTATAGCAAATTGTTGTTTAAATAGAAATATTTGATTTCTCCTTATTATTTCAATACGTAGCAGGTGAAATATATTTCATATACGTGATTTTGTGTCAGTATTGGTGTGTAGATGAAAGTACTATGGAACAAAGTTCAGTAGTTTCGAACTTTTTGTTTTGACATCAGTTGAATTTCAAATAAGAAGATGAGGTTTAGCTGAAAATTTAGTTATCTAAGCCATGCAAAAAAAGGAAAACTATAGCTTTAAAATGTTTACCGGTAAGTTTATCAGACGTTTCTGGAATATAGAATTATATGGAGGAAAGTTCTGTTAATTTTTGTGTTCCTATTACAAGTATCCCCCGCTTTATGAAAGTTTTCTTTACATCATTTTGCATTTGCGAAAGACTACCAAGGTAACTATTTTCGATAATAGAAAAAAATAAAAAGATGAGTCTTAGTTTTGCGAAAAGATATTGGAAGCGAAAATATTAGTTAGTGTCAAAACGAAATTGTAAGAATTACAATATAAAACTTACAGTTGCCAAACTGGAATGCTTCTCATGCGAAACACTTTTACAAAATCCCAAATAGCTATTAATTTCGCTAAAAATGGCATTACTGAGGAACCTGTGCATCAAAGCAAAGTACGATTTCAAAAGCTTTGAATGTGCAACAGTAAATGAGGACAGTGACCTGGATATTTTCCAGATCTTAGTCTGTTGGAATATTTTTTGAAATAGTGTTCGAAAATTTCATTCTGCTCTCTCTCTCCCTTTCCCTTTTAACTAATTCTGTCTAAGAACTGAAAACTCTTTATCTCTAGAGATGGTGGTTATTGCCTTCTCCTGCGTTAGATAACGAAATTACAATGAAACGTCGATATGTAACTCTTGTTCATGTCAAAAGATGATGAAAATTTCATTAAATGCCTATTCTTTCATTTTTATTAGACTTATGATTAAATAATTATGATTAAATAACCAATTAATTTTTTATGAAATTTGAAATCAATTAGAAATGACTTTTTGTATTACATCGAATACACTGCCACGTGCTTAACTTTTGAAAGCCAGTGTTTTCCTAATTATTTCTCCGCTATTCAGAGTACATTCTATCTCGTAAGTGAAATGAATTTGTTCATATAAAAATTATTTCATTTTTACTTTCCTGATTCTTAAAAATTCTTTCTTACTTTCCTATGTCATTACTTAGCTTATTACAATCGGTACTATTCTAAAAGTAAGGATTAATTTTGGTTTTATTTGCAATTTTATGCATTATTTCATATGAATTAATAAATTAAGCTTATGGATGTGCTAAAATAATTTGCCCACATATATTCAAGGTAAGTGCTGTTTTGCATTCCGACATGTTGGCTTCTTAAAGATTTCATCAGAAAGATATACTTTCAGATAACGGGGGAGACTTGTAAATGTGATAAAAATAACTGTAATATGTCAATAAGTGAAATATAAATGTTTTCCATGAATATTTACTTTTTTTTAACATTCCCTGCATTCATTTTAACTGTTGAATCTTGATAGTAGTTTATATAAATGATAATGGGTTTTTAATTTTCGATAAACAGATTCGCATAACAGTGAATCAGATGAGAGAAGTTCACCAGAATCAAACTACTCACGGAATTCATTTGAAATGTCCTTAGATGATCTGGAAACTGAACTGTTTATAGATCAGCTTCTGAGTTCTAGTTTTAACAGTCAGGAAAATGGCAATAATGGTTTAGGATGGTTTCTATAAAAATGACTGGATAAAAAAAACTCCTCATAATGAACATTTCTAATCAGCATTGTTAATCATCTGTATATTATAACCATCTGTATTGTATGTAAGAACATCTTTTATTCAATTTTAACTCTGTACTCTGTTTATATAAAGATTTTTTTAAACTTTCTTTATGCTTATTTTTATCAGCATTTTTCAGTTCTCACTCAAATACACATGAAAGAGTTTGACTTAGGTATCCATAAAAATGAAAATTTGTATTTATCTGCTCAAATATAAATTAAGGCTTCTAACAGCAGAACTAGAATTTCTTTACGACAACATTTCTCAGTCTATTTTCGAATTGGGACCACTTTTATAAATTAGAAAATTCTGTGCACCACCTTATTCTTGTTCCCCACAAAATAATTTTTTAGCACATTTTAATACCAGTATATTTATATTTTTAACATACAGTTAGTCAAAATTCATTTAATTTTATATTATAATTGCGTAATTAAAATAACTGAAGAAAATTTACATTTATTTTTAACAATTCAAGTCTATTAGAGTTTGTATCTGCTCTATCTCATTAATTCAAATTTAAATAAATATTTACGCTCACATTAATGGATCAGCCTTTCGATTCTTGCATAACTCTTCTATATTTAAATGTATGGTGGTCAGAAACACCATAGTGCTTCAAATCCTTCTTTTGTTGCTAAGCCCAGAGTAGGAAGTCCATAGATAGGATTAGAGGTAACGAATTTCGTAAAACATATCAGTTTTGGGAGGAAAATTCATAGGCGATTACTAGGTTTAATTTCAAAACTCTTGAATTTTCGGCTGGTATATAGTATGGTGTACAATAGTTAGAGAGAATTTCATTTTTTGCTTTTTCTGGAAATCTAGAAGAACCCAAGGGCAGGCTTCGAAGACCATTTGATCGATGATCTCAGATTGGGAAAAACAGCTTTAAACTGCAGGTTATCTTTTAAAAACTCCGGTAGAACACTGGTTAATGCAGAGTAATCGCAAAACTAATTTTAAATCACTGTATTGTATTTTATCGTAAATCAATCTTCATAATTTTCATACCAAAATAATTAAAAAGCATTCAAGTTTTGATTGTAAGGACGAGTGAGGTAACTTTAAATATATGCAGAAGTTTTGCTTCGTAAAGTTATTATTCATTGCGAGCCAGTTTGCATGAAAATAGTGACTATCTAACAAAAAATACAATGCAATTTTTGATAAAACAGAATTTAAATTTTTTATAATTGCTTAATTTTTGCAAAATGATCATTTGCTGCCGTGCTAGAATAGCATCTGTCATGACTTGTTCTACGTGGAATAAATTAGCATACCGATTTGATACATCTGCAGGCAACCAACGACGCTCATATTGAAATATACTAATGCATGCTTGAAAGACCTTGACATTTATGTTTATTAGGGAAACCTTGCATGATGGGATATCTGAATCCACTTTAAAATTGTTATTCTTTATAGTAGATTATACATTAATTTTACAAATTCATTGCAACTAATCAGTTTAATTCAAAAACAAATATTATAAGCACTTATGTAATATATTCTGCATATTAACAGCTTTGAAAGTTATTCCGTACATTAATTGAATACAAGCTTAACAAAACCTGGAATGCGACTCTTGCATAATATTAATTAAAATGCATAATGCTGTCAGTTAAACAAATCTGAAAAATCTGTATCTTCACTAAATTCATAATTACCATGCACCAATTAAAATATAGAATTTTAAAACATATTAAAAATTAGCTTATTCCATTTTATTACGTTTTACAGCACACTTCATCTAACCGGTTCTAAATTTTAGAATATACTATGTCATGAACATTTACTTGAAAATATGTATCTACTTTATTTTCTAAACTATTCTTATCACATTTTATGAATGTTGTTCTGTTTCTTCACACTTTTATTAAATTAAATCACATAATATTGTTACGTTATTTTCTTCCTTCACGTCCGTACGGGGTTCGTAGATTTGGAGTGAATAACGACGACACTTGATGAAGTATCGAAACATACTTTATTTAGCCAATATTAATCAGGACAGCTCCAAAGTCACGTTTTACAGTCGCCGAAGATCTACTATACACACTCGCTGGAACAATCAGCGACACAGCCTTCAGGTTATCAGGCAATAACGGCGGAAACAGCTTCACTGCAAAGCACCAGAGTACAGCTCCCGATTCTGTTCGGTCGTTCTCGGTCATCTTACTCTCGAGACTTTCCACGCTACAACTCGCGATACACTCGATGACACACAGAACACAGCTCCCGATTCCTCGGTTCAGTCGTTGCCGGAGCTTAACAGACTCTCTTGACGATGCACTAAGAGACTCTTCCATGCACACGACCACCCACTCGGGCACTCGCTGCCCGGCTGTCAACTCGATCGACTTCGCACGGACTGACTAACTCGAGACTAAGTACTCGCTCTCAGTCTCCAGTTTTATATAGTTTTTGGCTTGTGTTCGAGAACATTCTGGGGTAAACCAGTAAGAATTCGTTCCAGAAGGTTCTCCATCCGTCCATGGCATATCGCCAATTTTGTGGCAAAATGGGCGATTTCTCGCCAAATGTGGCAACTTTGCCTTCTTTTGCCATTTTATGGCAACCTTAAACCCGCTTTGCGGGTAAGCTATCTTATTTTACCGCGGCTGGACATTTCGTAACAATATTTTCTTTTCCGACTTTTCCTTTTGGATAACTCTTGCTTACATAATTCACTTAAATCATTATATTTCTTGCGTTTTGAACGTTAAATGTCATACTTAACTTATCAGTGTCTAACGAACTTGTAATGGCTTTCTTCTGTTATCGTAGAAAATCCTCTTTACCGTTCTTTATTTACTGGAGATTGTAAATAACTTTTATTAATGTTAGTTTTGATAAAGCCCATATATAGCTGAAGCTACAGACACTGGTTTACATTGTAGAGACATTAGGATTTTTGGAAGCAGAAGATGAAAAATGAGCGATCGCCTTCGCCGGAAATCGAACCACGAACCACTGAAATACCGGCTCAGCGTGCAAACCACTACACCATAAACAAAATATATGTAAGTCTCTAATAATCAGACTGGATCGAATGTAAAGTAATAAACAGAGAGCGTTATTCCACACAACGTTTATTTACGAACACCAAAGACGAATTGATACATATACATAATTATGACATCACAGTTTCTTTTTACAAACACTACCGCCATCTCAGTGACTAAACTCAGTGAAGTACGTGTACTCTAAAATTTGCATAAATTTCTGACCACTCCTTCTTGGTGTTGCATTTTCAATGTCCAGCAGTGTCCTTTTATGAAGATTATAAAAAGGAAATTCTGTACATATTTGTTTGTTGTAGTGTTACTTCGGGAGTTTTTCACCACATCTGAAATTTGCTTGTTACAAACCGGATAAATTAAGCTTACTAATTTTGGCGATTAAGCTCGGTGGCCGCTTTATCAAAGAGGTACCTGTAATTTAATTTTATCGTGCCTTTAAGTCTTTAGGGATTTACCTCGATCAACAAGGGGTGATAAAGAAAAATCCAAGCTATGTTACCTAAAGTTTTGATTCTATTTATGTATTAAACATTTTAATTTTCAGATATTGGTGTTTGGTAAATATGGTAAATATCCAAATGGTAAACATCCTACACAAATGGTAAATATCCAAATATGATTTATGAAATCTTAAATCTGCAGTAATAGTAGTGACAAATTAGAGATCATTTTGTTAGAAATAAGGAAAAAAATCAATCTTAATTTATATTACATTTAATATCAAAAAGACACAAACTAAAGTTAACTACAATAAATAGATTCCTGCGTGAAGTTGGACTTTTTTGTATTTTATAATTGACTTGCCCTGTGTCTCTCCCATATATAAAATATACCAACTTAATGATGTCTCAACTGAACAAACCTCGTCAAAACTGAAAGAAAATTAATTACTTATAAAGATTAAACCTACTACAAGTTTTTAGCAAGAATTTCTTCATATAAACCATCGTTCATTTAAATCTTTAGACTAAAGAATTTGAAATTTACCTTCCTATAAGGAGCTTTAACCATTTTATAACAAGAAAAGGAATTCTTTCAGAAATAATTTTTGACGAAAAGAAACTATTTGAAAATTTATCACACTTAATTTTTCCAAACAATGCCACATCAACAGCAATAAAAATTGATCAGATGAGAATGATTTTCATCATAATGATCATAATCATCTTGACTTTTTATGCTATACAACACATTTAATAAAACTGCATACAGGACTTAACAGATTTATAAGTATGTAAATTACATAAAAATTATGTTTTGTTAAATTATTATAATTACATGATGAAACGTTAGTTATATCGATATGATTACAATAAATCAAGATGATTATGATCATTATGATGAACATAATCATCAATCATGATAATTATGATCAATGATTATAGCCTTTGTAATTATAATCAATCATTCTCATTTCAATCATAATAATTATATTATAATCATTAGTATTATGTATATCTGCGTTTATTAAAGAGGCCTCAGCATAAGACGTTGACGGCACTTGGAATTTGCACGATATAGACTGAGCAATTACGTTTGCAAGGTTTTATGTTAATTAACCAGTTATTACATTTTGATCTTTACGTCAAATTCTTCTTCTCGTATTTCTCAACAGAATGCAAATTAGCTCTTAGTGTATTTAGGTCGAGGGTTTGGGATTTTAAAGAGAAAGATATTTTTAGCACTCTTGGGCCTTTTTTTGACTTTTGGGTACTTTTCCGTTTCGCCGGCGCAAATCTCGCCAAGCAGACTTTATTGGCGCTAGCATACAGTATACACATAAAAAATGTTAAAAAATGTTAGTTCTAAGAATTTTTTATTTTGAAAGCATAAACATTTTAATATCGCTTAAAATTTTGTAAAAAGCCAATAAATAAAGACAATAAATTTGTAAAAAGACTTTAATTTAAGAATTTACTATGCTTTCACGGTTCGACATCCTGATTCACCGGTTAATATCACATGACCCCTGGTGATCTCCTATCACGTAAACTATGCTACAAAAATCTAATTCTCTCAGTAATTATCTACATTAATATCAAGTTAAATCTTAATTTGGAATAAAAGTTTAAATGCAAGA